GCACTAAGATTGTTTCCATCTCTTTGCTCTTGTGAATAATGCTACAATAAATGTGTGTGTATATATTTGTTCATGTTGAATCTCATACTTCTTTAGGGTATTTCTCAGTAGTGGAACAGCTGGATCAAATGGTACTTCTATTTTCAACGTTTAAGAAATGGCAAACTGTCTTCTGTAGTGGTTGCATCATTTTGCAGTTCTACTTTTTTGCGGTTCCATTTTGCAGGAGAGTTCCAATCTATGTCTTCACTAACATTTGTTGTTTGCTGTCCTGTTGAACTTTGCTATTGTTGCTGAGGTGAGATAATATCGAATTGTTGTTTTGATTTGCATAGCTGTAATGGTGAATCATCTTGAGCACTTCTTCCTATGCTTGTTCACCATGTGAATGTCTTTGGTGAAGAATCTTTTCCTATCTTCTGCTCATTTTGTACTTTGGCTGTGTCTTTTTTTTATTGAGGTGGTAGAACTCTCTGTAAATGTTAAGCATAAGTGCCTTATTAGATTAGATATGTCATTGCCAGATACTTTTTCCTCAGTCTGCAGGCTCTCTTTTTATTCTTTTGGAGAATTTTTTTTATGCATATAAAGATTTAATTTTTAGAAGGCCCCATTCATCTACTTTATAATTTTCTGGTTGTGTGTTTGCCATTTATGCAATAGATTGCTGTTTGTTGTTACATACCATTGTGTCAGAACCTACCCATAGCTGACCCTCTGGCAGGTTTTCAAAGGCAGTTGATCTCATGAGAGATTGCCCATCTTTCTCCCAGAGTAGCTGGTGGATTCGAACCATGTGCCTTTGAGATTAGAGTGCAGCTTCTTACCACTGTTGTGTTGTGTACCCGAGTCACAGTCAATCTATTGTTGATGTTCTGGAGGGTTTTCAGAGGCTCCTGTGTAGCAGCTGGTAGCCTTGAGTGGTGTGCCTTTGGGATTGTAGTGCAGCTTCTTGCCACTAGACTGACTACATAACTTTTTAATGCTGTTGTTGATTGCCATCAAGTTGAGCATGACTCACAGCAACTGTATGAACGAAAAGCCTGAAGCCTTTCTGTAACTATCATTTACCAAAGTTAGTAAGAGTTTACAGAGGTATGTTGTTTAGGAAGTGGATGCCACTCCTGCTTCCAATAACTTTTTAATATGGCCTCCTAATCCTTCACAGTAATCAACAACAAACAATCCTTCAGTTTTTGTTGTTGTTATGTGCTATCGAGTCATTTGAGACTCATAGCGACCCTCTGTACAAGAGCTCTAAACGCTGTTCTATCCTGTGCTAAACTAACCATCTCTAACGTACTTATTCCCACTGCTCCAGTCACAGAATCAATCTATCTCATCGAAGGTCTTCCTCTTCTTCGCCGCCCCTCCACTCTGCCAAACATGATGTCCCTCTCCAAGGACCAGTCCCTCCTTGCAACATGCCCAAAGTATGTCAGGCAAAGCTTCAGAATCCTTGACTCCAGGGAACATTCTGGCTTCACCTTCTCTAGGACAAACCTGTTTGTTCTCCTAGCAGTCCATGGTATATTCAACACTGTTCTCCAGCACCACAGCTCAAAGGCATCAATTCTCTATCAACCCTATTCACTGTCCAACTCTCTGATGTGTAGCACATAATTGTGAAGACTATAGCCCAGATCAGGCGCACCTTAGTCTCCAGGCTGATGTTGTTGCTCTTCAGTACTCTTGAGAGGTTCCTCACAGCAGACTTTCCCAATGCAATTTGTCTCTTGATTTCCTGGCTGCTGTTACCAAGAATGTTGATTGTGGAGCCAAGCAAACTAAAACTGTTAACTATCTCAATCTCTTCACCATCCATACTGATGCTGCCAATTGGCCCTGTGGTGAGAATCTTTGTCTTCTTGATGTTGAGCTTCAATCGATATAGGAGGCTGCAGTCCTTGACCTTCTGCAGCAAGCACTTCAGGTCCTCCTCAGTTTCAACAAGCAGGGTTGTTACCTCTTTCCCTTTAAATTCAGATTAAACTCATCCCCTATAAGAAGCAAGTTCTAACCATATGCAGCCAGTAGTCCTTTGTCCTGTATCAACTGTTTCATGATTGAATTACCTCATGTAGGCTGCCTTTGAATGTAATAGATTGTTTTAAAGATTGATGTATAAAGAGCATGTTGTTGTTGATTGCCTTTGAGTCTAACACAACTCATAGCAACTCTATGAACAAAAGGCCCGAAGCCCCTCTACAACTATTGACATTTACCAAAGTTCATAGCTTACGAAGTGGATGCCACTCCTGCTCTCAAACCTGTCATAGTATGTTATTGTTATGTGCTACTCAGTCGCCTGAGATGCATAGCGACTATGTACCACAGCTCTGGATTATGGCTATGATGCCTCCATGTGGGCATTGTGCATATTGAAGAGGAGGACTCTAACAGGCCCCTCACTCTTGTTTAACTGACCCTGCCACTATGTACAAGCAAGCATGTTATCAGAAGAATGCTGATTTTAGGAGCTCTTTCTCAGATCAGAGAACTGGGAAGTACAAAGCCATATCTGTGTATGTGTGCAATCACACTTTCAGAATTATCATGGAACAAGAATTTTAATAAGAAAGTGAACTCCTGGATTCTTTAATCAAAAGTGGGGAAAGTTAATTTATATTATCAATCTACACTGTTTTAATGACATTTTAAATTCACGTTAACAATCATGCATCCTGAGAGCATAAAAAGGTGAAATAATAAAAGCATTATAATTGAATTATTGCTGTTATGTGCAACCCAGTCAGAACTGACTATGTGTCAGTGGGATTTCATAGGCTACAAATTGCACAGGAAATTGGCCATCTTTCTTCTGCTGAGTAGCTAGAGGATTTGAACTACCTGCCTTTGGGCTGGCAGTGAAATTTATCACATCATAAATGTTCCTGCCATGAGTTGATAATTGCGTGGAACATTACTTATTTTTCTGGCATACTTTAGATCCTTTAGTAAGTGAAGGAACAATTACAGTAAAAAGAAAACAGCCAGGATTTCTAGAAATATGCATTAAAAACATCATGTGAATTAAACAAATATTTGGATGTTAAAGTTTAGGGTGAGTTGGAAAAGTCTGTGTTTTATGAAAGAAATGTACCTGTGCATTCTTAAAAAGCATGTTAAACAGGATGCACATTCATGTACTATTTAAAATTGTTTATTTGGCAAATTTCAGAGATTTACATTTCAGCATTTCATCAACTGCAAAAGTAAGAAAATAATTCATGGGCCTGGTGTGCTTCTGAAAATAATTATGGTTCATAAAAACGTGCTTTAAAACATTTAGATGGTTTGAAATGAACACAGTTTAAGAGGGATTAAGCATATACAGACATTGTTTAATCTTACAAAATATAGTTTATTGGGGATACCTGCACTATAAAAGGGTCTTTAAATTGCTAGAGGATTTTAAAATTGTAATCACTTTTTCCAGTCTAAAAGGGGACAATATGTGGATAGTTTTGGGGCGACCACTGCACAAGAGGAGACATGGAAAGGGGTGGATTTTATGAAACAGACACAGAGCAGATAATCAACAGGTATTCCTTATGGAGTACTTCTGAACAGCAGCAGTTTAAAACCTTCGGTTAGAAAATTAATTTAAAGATGAGGTTCTGTCTTAAACTGCATATATAATCTGTTAATATCTTTTCCTAAAGCATTATGATCCAGACTGGAACATAATGGTGAATACTGTTAGGCATATTTTCAGTGACTTGGAGGAATCCTTATTTTTCTAGAACACTAAAACTTTCTTAAGATCAAGAGAAGGAAATGAATTGAATTTCAAAACATCTTTAACTCAAAATTAATTTAACTCTAATTTATGTGCTAATGCAAGCAAGTTGATTTCTTTTGACACCGTGAGAAAGGGTGACAGCATGCTGTACTTTATAGCCAGAGAACCGCTGCCATTCCCAGGAAGATTAAAGACGGTACAGCAGGGCTCTAAAGTGTCCAATCCTACTTCCAAGACTTCTAGTCGGTACAACACTTCAACTTATATATCTAAGAGCTGTTGTTAAAAATAATGCAAAAAACTAGAATTTAAAACGCAGTTCTAATTTTATTTCTACTTTTGATTTAGAAATAAAACCTAGAGTCCTAAGGTGTCCCAAACCAATCAATAGTTCTTTGGCAATTTTAGAGTAAGTAACAGGCCTGGCATGTTAATTAGACACAGAAAAGGACAGGGTTCTGACCTGTTGCTGAGTGGTAGTCCACTCAACATCACATACTGACAATAAAGAGTCTGAAGTAGGAAAACGGCTCACTTATTAAGCTTTGTCTTTTAAAAATTCTGTTTAGTAAACACAAAATAGAGATGAGCAGAAATGTCCTAAGTCAAAGAACATTCTCTTTTTCAGTTACACAAAACCCTTATCACATGAAAATCATTTATTGAGTGTAAACAGTAAGAAGGTATTATGCAAAAATGTGCTATTTTCAGCAAAAATTATAATAGGTTACTACTAACCAACTGTAATCTTACTGTAGTGGCAAAACTCCCGCCCCAAAAGATTATTTAGAATAAGAAAGCATAAATATCGAGAATGATGCTTTTGGCTATGTAAACAAAATACTCAATCACTCTCCCCTCTTTAGTTTTTATACACCACCTGTGGACTGAAGGTATTATCAATTACACTGGGAAAAACAAAGAAACACCATTCTTCAATGAAGTAATTCTGGGCACAAAACTGAGTACATTAAAAGGAAAATTGTGATGAAGATTTGGAGAAAGATTCATTTACCCCACACTAGCTAGTTCAGTCAAAAGGCAGCTATAAAAATAGGCATCATCATCAATCACAAGCTATGTAGAACTATAAAATCCAGTTAAGGGTGAAGCAAGCCTGGATTTGCGGAGTGCTGTAAGCCCACTGGTAGACGCATTTCAAAGATCATTCAGTATGGTTGCTCTCCACCAAGCAGAGAGCATTCTAGAAAGGGTGAGGTTCCCCCACCGCCCGCAGGGCTGGGCCGGTCTGTGGTCACACCTGGTCCCGCAGGCGGGCCAGTCTCTGGGACAGCTCGTCCTGCTCGGCGGAGGCCACGCTCGTACCCACCGAGCCCACCTGGCCCTGGGGCAGCTCCATGTTGAGGTCGAGGCCGGCCTCATCGGCCATCTCCTGGAGCAGCAAATCCACTTGGTTCTGGGGAGTGGTCAGCGTCGTCGTGCTGCTCATCGTGTCTTCCATCTGCTGCGTCTGCACGTCCAGCGTCTCAAACTGGTGCTCGAATTTGTCCATCAGGGCAGAAATCTTCTCCAGATTCATTGTTTTCAACGTCGCGTCCATGGACTTTACCATGCCGGCCATCGACTTGGTCACCTTCCTCATCGTCACGGCCGTCTGGCCTCTGGCAGCCACTGCATCCACGCGCGCACTCATCCTCAGGAAATTCACCCCCTGGTTCTTCTGGCGGATGGCATTTTCGGCGTGTATCCGCGCCACTTCCATGTTGCCCTTCTGAATGGCCTTTTTAATCTTGA